TGTTGCCCGTGTGTCTGCAGCTTCAGCCGTCGCCTCCTATCTCCTCTCCTCTCACAGTCCAGCCTCCTCCTCCTCACTTGCCCTTTGTGAATGCCTCTAGCTTTGCTTGTACTGGTGAACCTGCTCTATGACTGCTTGCTGTGCTGATTATACCCCACTTTGACTATGGGGGTGTGTCATAATGTGTTTGCTGTCTAGTCTGCAGTGGGGTACTCTGTAGTGAGCACAACCCAATTAGGGTTTCCTATTTGTATCCCAACTATTTCTAGTGAAAACCCTCTTCCTATTTCTAACAAACGCTTCCTTAGGGCTCGATTCTCAAACCATTCAATTCTTTCTCCTAATTCAATCTTCTGCGCTACTGCTGATATAGGAATTGAAGCGAAACACATATTTGTAAATTGACAAAACAGTATTTTCTCTAGTGAGATCTGAACTCCCGATCTTCGCTATAGATCGCAACTTCGGAATCACTGCGCTAAACAATCTGTCAACATTCAGTGGCGTGTTTTTTTAACCTCTGTGTCAAAGCTATAATTGTCAATCTCTAGGGTTTCGTGAAAAAAAAATTCTCTCGCTTTTCTTCCAACCACATACTCCTCCCGCCACTCACGCTAGTCCAGCTCCTTAGGTAAGCACTAGTATCTCTGTTCACTCTATTATATCCGTTCCTTCTATCTCCTTCGGTTATGCTATCTCTTTCTCAATTCTCCCTTCCTTATCCGTCTCCGTTCTCCGATTTCCGTTTTTTATCTTCTCATAAACGTCGTTTTGCTAGTGCAAGTCGCGCTGGCGTCTTTTTTAATGGTGCCAGACGGGCTAAATGCGATCGCGCCTTGCTCAGCGTCATGTGCGTTATCCATTTACATATTCGGTTTTCTGATTTACATGTTCCGTTTCTTGTTTCTCTCTAATCTCTCCTCTTCTTCTTTCAGTCCTCCATCTCTTCCTTATTTTCCATTTTCCGGTTCACATCCTCTTATTCTAGTCATTTACTTCTTATTCTTAGTTTGCCCTCCCTCTCCTACTTCCTCTCGTTCTGCTAACGGGCTACGGGACTTCCGCTAGGTAAGCTCCTAACTTGCAACTTAAACTCGTTCGATATGTATGTTTGTTAGGTCGACTTGATTCCTAACCTAGGACGACTTAGATCTAAACTAGGTCGGCTTAGATCTTGTTTTAACACATGTTTTTTTTTTTTTTTTTTTTTTTTTTTTTTTCGAAACCGTAGTTTATTGAACGCTCTCTCTATCTCTCGTTCGTTCTCTCTTGTTCTCTCTCTCTCTCTGTCTCTCTCTCTCTCTCTCTCTCTCTCTCTCTCTCTCTCTCGTTTTTGTCTTTTGTTCTCTCTCTCTCTCTCTCGTTCTCTCTCTCTCTCTCTCTCTCTCTCTCTCTCTCTCTCTCTCTCCCTCTCTCTCTCTCTCTCTCTCTCTCTCTCTCTCTCTCTCTCTCTCTCGTTCTCTCGTTCTCTTTCTCTCGTTCTCTCTCTCTCTCTCCCTCTCTCTCTCTCTCTCTCTCTCTCTCTCTCTCTCTCTCTCTCTCTCTCTCTCTCTCTCTCTCTCTCTCTCTCTAATGGTCCGTGTATTGATATAGCAAAGGGTACAAGCAAGCAAGGTAAGTCTAGAGATCACAATCATGAAATCACAACTAACATGCTAACACCGTCCTCTATAGCTCAACTAGGGGCTCAATCACCGCAAAGCAGTCCCCCAGGTGGAACTCTGGTCCTATCCCCCCAACGGGCGGGTTCTCAGCTATCGCCGCCTCACATGACTTGATGAGGTAACCAACCGATTGTGCCCTCTGCAGGGCAACCGACCACCGCTGTCGGAATTGGTGTAGGAACTTAGCAGCCTGGTAGGACTTTGAGTCGGCGTTGAAGTGTCGCTGAGCTGCTGTATCCGCTAGTAGTTTTAGAAAAACCGGCACCTCGGCGCATGGGCAGCCGTAGGTCTCAACCGCCAGTGGGAAAAAGCGCACCGTGTCTGGTAGGTTGGCATAGTGCTTGAGCTTCTTGTCAGCCTGCTCCCGAGCCGCCCATCCTCTTCCTTTCAGCGCCTCCGGGTCCCTAGTACTGATGGGGTCGGTAACGGTAACGTCGCACACATATACCGCGCCGCTGCTCTTGTCCCTCATGGTGAAATCAGCGGTCTGCTCCTCAACTGGGCAGTATTCAGCTGATTCTCCATGTACTATGAAGCCCGCATCCTCAGCCATGCTGATGCAAGCGTCGCGGAGCTCGTTGTGGGTGTTGATTCGATGCTTGCCTGTTCCGCAGCGAAAGAGGTGATTCGGTAGGCGTGGGTCAGGAATGGCTACATGCTCCGTGCAGTCATAGTTCGCCGGCGTTGAGAAAGGTAAGGCGAGCCTGAAGCGAACTGCGTTTGCAAAGTGAGTGGGGCCAATGCGACGGGTTGATGCGATCAGGATTGCAGTGAGCCAGTCTCCTGTCCCGTAGCCTGTCAGTGAGTACATCCGCTGCGTATGCCCGCAGAGCGGGTTCAGCCGCATACGACGTGTTTCACGCACCTGTACTGCGTATCTACTCCCCTGGACCTGGAGTGCTAGTGCGTGCTGGAGTTTAATACCCTTCGGCTCCAGTCTCTCCTTCTCCAGCACTTCACGGGCATCCAATGGCAGCGCCGCTTCGCATTCGGCGAGCCACGCATGTAACGGTGTAGTGATGTCGCCCGGTAGCAGCATGTGGTTTCTGACCGACAATAGGATATCGTCGTCGTCAAGCGTCATTGAGTCAACGAACAGTGCAGCCTGATTGAAGCTTGCTAGGAATCCGTGGATTCCTTTGACGGTCGGATCTGTGAGGCCAATCCCCCCAAGCGATGGAGGAAGCGACGCCTGTGCCCACACCCTCGTCTGCTCCGTCTGGCTAGTTGGGACTCGGATGCCGCACGCCGTCAGCAAGATGGCCAAGAGGTCCCGGCCCCACTGTGACCATTTGTCGCGCGCCAGTAGATTTAGCGGTGTGGTGCGTGTCAGGTACGCTACGCGGCGGGAGATGCAGCGGGTCAGTAGTAGCGAGGCCACCTGGGGGTCCGTCCATTCCAGCAGTGGAAGTGGTTTCGCCATCCCGTCGAGTTGATCAGCCAGGAACTTGGCTATGTTGGCAGGGGGTCCGAGATAACTGCCGAGGAGACGGACGCCGTCCGTGTTGAACGGTACTCCCAGTGGTAACATCGGCGCGCAGGTTTCGTCAATGCACCATGCTGCGCATTTACTCGGGTTATGCGTGAGCCCGAGCGGTACGAGCTTGTCAGTGAAGCTGGTGAAGGCGGCTACAGCTGCGTCAGGATCTCCCAGGAAAGTGGCGTCATCCGCGTAGGCAAGGCAGAGTACCCCGGGGTGTGCAGCGGCTGTCTTACGAAGTGCAGGGTGTATTCCGGCGGCAAAAAGCAGTGGACCGAGTGGGTCCCCTTGCCGAACCCCTCGTTCGCTTTGCAGTGGTTCGCTCCTGAAGTTGGCATCGAGGTGTAGTTGCGATGGGTTACCGTAGGTCAGCCGGACGAGTGGAAGAAGAGGCGAGAGGATGGGTTCGTGTAACGCCTTAGCGATCGCCTGCCGCGAAATGCTGTTGAAAGCATTCGCGATGTCTGTCTGTAGTACCAGGCTGTTTGGACGCGCATCCAAAAAGGATCGGGCAGTGTGGATAATGGCCTCTGCTCCACCTGGCACCGCAACACCATACTGCAGGGGGAGGAAGTATTCACGGGCAGCTTCGCCCATGACGGTCAACGCCGCCTTTGCTGTCAGCCGCGTCAGACACTCTCCTATCGCTATTGGTCGGGCACCCCCTCCAGGTTTGGCCAGGGCTATGAGGCGGGAGGCGGTTAATAATTCCGCTACGGGCAGTGGCAATTTTCCGCTGAGCATAGTTTTCACTAAGGCATGTAGGTGGGTGCAGACCGATGCGTTGGTAATTGCCGCGTCGCGCAGGTGTTCGAATGTCGTTCCTGACGGTCCGGCGCCGACACCATTTTCACACCTGCCCAGGATTTTGGCGAACTCCGCGTGGCTGATGGACAGGTTCGTGCTGTGCGTGGTTGGCCATGTCAGCGTCTCGGTACCAGCTGGCAGGTGTTTCTGGCGCAGCTCGTTCAGAATGTCTGGACTTGGCGTGCAGACAGGCGTTGACTCCAGGGCCAACATAGCTTGGCGCAAACTGCCACGTTTCGCGAGACCCTCGGCTCGGTTGATGACTCTAGTCTCGTCGGGCTGGTGACGTGGCGGAGGTGGAGTGTTGACCGCTTCTACGGCTTCGGTATATAACTGTTCCCATTCGCCACGTTGGAACTGGCGTAGCCGAGCCTTTACTTGTAGCCAATTAGGTCGCTTGGGCGAGGTTTGGCGAAGGCTGAGACGCGGGAGGAAAAGCAGCAGTCGCCAACCCGCTTCCAAGTCCGGGTTTCGCGACAGGTGAAGAAGCGGGGTGAGAAGAGCCAGCGAAAGGAGCTGACACAGGTTTGGCGGTAAACGCTGTGACAGAGGCGGTTGGCGACTGTCGTAGAGCGCCGAGATATCCCAGTTCGCGACACTGGCGAACAAGTCTGTTCGCCTCGCCAGTTCCTCTGGTGAAAAATAGCGGGGGTTTTGAGGGTTGCCCCGGACCGCGGTATCGTTGCGATTGGCCCGATTTCCGCGAGGGCGGTTCGATGTTGTTGCCCTTGAAAACGTTGGAATTGGGGCCGTCCGATTGCTAACGGACGGTCCTCCTGCAGCCCCCGCCCTCGTCGAGGCACCTTGGCATGCTTCTGCTCCATTCTCCTCGGCAGCTTCCAAATTCATTTCTGCCTCCTCCGAGCTATCGCTTTCACTTGCGGGAAGCGGCTCTTCCCTATAACTAGGGTCATTTCTTTCATCAGCTTCATTTGCCATCTCTTCGTCTATTAAAGCCTGCCGTGCTGCCGCCTGGTACCCGTTTTCCGGTCCTCCGCCTACTCCGCTCGCTTCCTGCCTCCCAACCCCTCGGCCACCTCTCCCTCGCGATGGTGATCGCCGGTGGTTCTGAGCTGTCGCCAGTGCGCACTGCCGCGCCGTTGGCTGTGGTCGGCATGACCCCGTCGGAGCGCGGAACGGTGACCATCCCGACGAAGCCCCCTGTACCACCGGCTCCGAGGCCCGCGACAACAGCCGCTGAAATCCCTCGTCCCCTTGCACCCGCGGATCCTGTCGCGTCGGTCGTTCCCCCGAAGGGCTCTCCAACGGTGGACGTTCCGGCGGCCCCCCTCGTTGCTCCGCCTACCCCTGTGTGCCTGGGCCCTGACCCCCCTGCTCTGGTGGTTGCTCCGCACCCCCCTGCTCCTGTTGGTGCCGTGTCTGTCCCCGCCGTCCCTGCTCCGCTGCTTGCCGCCGGTGCCCCTGCTGTGCTGATCCCTGTCGGCGCCCCCGCAGTGCCGAACCCTGCCGTTGGTTCGTCGCCGCGGGCGGTGTCAACCACCACTGGCGGCCCGGGCCTTGGGGAGTCGGGGGGAGCCGCCCCGCCGATTGTTCCCGCGTTATCTGCTGTCGTTCCGCAGACTCAGCGCCCGCCGTCTCCTGGCGGCCGGCGGCATCGGCCGCACTCCCCTGCGCCACGTGACGAGCGGGAGAGGTCGAGGCGGCGACATGACTCTCCTCGGCGCCATGGATCCCAGGCGAACTGGGCTGCATCTCGTGGCGGACGCGGTGGCTGGTGGGGAGGGCGCGGTCGTGGCGGGGACTGGGCATATGATCGGCCTGTGTCGATGGCCGATCTGCAGCGAGTTGTGTCGGCTGCGGTGCGCGAGGAGCGGAATGGGCACGCGAGCCAAAGCAACTCGCCTCGCGGCCCTCCGTCCCGTGCGTCTCCTCCACCTGTTGCGGCCCCTCCGCCTGCAACTCCTCTTCCTCGGCCGGATGTTCCCCCTGCCTTCGATCCCGCTGCATCTGCCGCCGCTCCTGGGAATCGCATGCGGCTGCCGTGGATTCCCCCTGTGGCAGGTATTGAATTTGTGACCGCGGCAGGGGGACCTGTGACGGCACAGTATCCGTCCCTCCTGCCTGTGGGTCGTGCTCCTCCGGCTGCTGCGCCACTGGTATAGACGTTGGTGGGGCCCCTTCCGTCGGCTGAGGTCCCTGAGGCGTCTCTGGGGCAGTTGTGGCGCCTCTCAGAGGGTTTGCGGGCCGTGCATCTGATTCAGGTGTATGGGCATGCGGCTCTCTCCCAGGGCGTTTCTCTGGATGGCGGACCTCGGGATGAGTGCCTGGATGCCGCAGATCGGCTTGCCGAGCTCCTGGCGCCCGTGTTGGCCGCGCCCGCGCGGGGTGGAGTTGCGGGCGTTGGACAGCTTGGGACCGCTCTCCGCGGTCTGCGCCGGTTTTTGCGCACAGGGACTCCAATCGACCTGATCGGCGCAACCACTGTGGTGGTGCGCGAGCTTCATCGCTCCCTGACGGGGCTCCTTGCCGTTCTTGACGCGGATCGGATGTAGCATCCGCGTCACCGTGACCCATTGTCTTTTTAGTTGGTAGATCTCACTGCCATGCGTGTATGCCGTTGCATTATGTAAGGTTGTCGGTTGTGATGCGCTTGCCACCCCTCACGCGCGGCCGAAGGGGCGGCCGGCGTGAGCGAAAAATTATGGCCAACAAATTGAAGAATGAAGAGAGAGAGGCCCTGGGAGACCTCTTATAGCTAGGGAACTAGAGGGCAAAGGGCAAAGGGAGAGGGCAGAGGCTAAGTCCCTCTCTCTCTCTCTCTCTCTCTCTCGCTCTCTCTCGAACGAGCAAGCGAAAAATTCTGGCCAACAAATTGAAGAATGAAGAGAGAGAGGCCCTGGGAGACCTCTTATAGCTAGGGAACTAGAGGGCAGAGGGCAAAGGGAGAGGGCAGAGGCTAAGTCCCTCTCTCTCTCTCTCTCTCTCTCTCTCTCTCTCTCTCTCTCTCTCTCTCTCTCTCTCTCTCTCTCTCTCTCTCTCTCTCTCTCTCTCGCTCTCTCTCGAACGAGCAAGCGAAAAATTCTGGCCAACAAATTGAAGAATGAAGAGAGAGAGGCCCTGGGAGACCTCTTATAGCTAGGGAACTAGAGGGCAGAGGGCAAAGGGAGAGGGCAGAGGCTAAGTCCCTCTCTCTCTCTCTCTCTCTTTCTCTCTCTCGTTCTCTCTCTCTCTCGTTCTCTCTCTCATGTTCTCTCTCTCGTTCTCTCTCTCTCTCTCTCGTTCTCTCTCTCTCGTTCTCTCTCTCTCTCTCTCGTTCTCTCTCTCGTTCTCTCTCTCTCGTTCTCTCTCTCTTTCTCTCTCTCTCTCTCTCTCTCTCTCTATCTCTCTCTCTCTCTCTCTCTCTCTCTCTCTCTCTCTCTCTCTCTCTCCCTCTCTCTCTCTCTCTAATGGTCCGTGTATTGATGTATCAAAGGGATACAAATAAGCAGGGTATGGATGCTAGAGATGGGAACAAGCAAACAAAGAAACAAAGAACTATTTAACCACCCATAATTGCCTATCTATACCTCCATGAGAGGCTCTAGTACTGCACAACTGTCCCCAAGGTGAAACTCGCCCTGCACCCCCCCCCACAGGGGGGTTTTCCGCTACTGCCACCTGACTGGACTTAATAAGGTAACCTACCGACTGCGCTCTTTGCAGAGCATAGGACCACCGCTGCCTGAAGAGATGGAGGAACCTGGCTGCATGGAATGAGTGTGGTTGGGCGTTGAAGTGTCGCCTAGCAGCTGTTTCCGCCAAGAGCTTCAGGAACTGTGGAACCTCGGCACACGGGCACCCATATGTCTCAACTGCCAAGGGGAAAAAGGTAACGGTGTCAGGGCGGCTGGCATAATGGCTGATTTTCTTGTCGGCCTGCTCCCTGGCCGCCCAACCCCTCCCCTTTATGGCCAGTGGGTCCCTGGTGCTTATCAGGTCCATGATGGTGACATCACAGATGTACACAGCGCCCGAGCTCCTATCACGCAGGGTCAGGTCTGCCGTTTGCTCTTCAACTGGGCAGTAGGCTGCGGATTCTCCATGGACTATGAAGCCGACGTCCTCTGCCATCGAGATGCAGGCGTCACGGAGTTCATTGTGAGTATTGATCCTGTGCTTGCCCGTCCCACAGCGGAAAATATGGTTTGGCAGCCGTGGGTCAGTGATCTCTACGTGTTTAGAACAGTCGCACTTCGCGGGTGTAGAGAAGGAGAGGCCTAGCCTGAAGCGGACTGCATTGGCGAAGTGCGGCGGGCCTACACGGCAGGTCAGTTCTATGGGAATAGCGGTTAGCCAGTCCCGTGCCGTAGCGTGTCAGAGAAAAGAACCGTTGTGTTTGACCTGACAGTGGGTTGAGACTCATGTGCCGTGTAGCCTGCACTTGCGTGGCGTATCTGCTCCCCTGCACTCTCACCCCAAGCTCGTGCTGCAGTTTCAACCCCTTCGGCTCTAGCCTTTCCTTGTCGAGTATGTCTCTGGCTTCCTGTGGCAGCGACGTCTCACATTCCGATAGCCAGTGATGTAAGGCAGTTGTGGTATCTCGAGGCAGAAGCATGTGATCTCGGGCTGCTATCAAGGCCTCCTCTGTTTCTAGCGGTAGGGAGCTGAGGAAGAGGCTAGACTGTGTGAAACTAGCCAAGTAGCCGAACCGCCCTTCCACCGTAGGGTCAATGAATCCGATACCGCCCAACGACGGTGGAAGTGAAGATTGCTCCCAAACCCGGCTCTGCTATGTGCTGTCTGTAGGGAAACGGATGCCACATGCCGTGAGGAGTGTGGACATGAGGTCCCTACCCCACTGTGACCAGTGTCAACGGGAGTTGTTGTTGGCCCCGTCCTCGCTTGGGCGGAGCCGACTTCGTGGTTGGGTGTACGGGAGGTACAGCCGACTTGCAGCAGTGGTCGACGGGGTTGGTCGACTTGCACGGGGCCACTGCAATGCTGCCGACTTGGGAAGCCGGCGGCCGACTTCAACTGGTGGTCGGCGATGTGGCACATTGACCTGGAAGTCGGCGCCGACTTGCAAGGTCACCGACTTGCAAGGTCGCCGACTTGCAAGGTCACCGACTTGCAAGGTCACCGACTTGCAAGGTCACCGACTTCCAAGGTCACCGACTTGCAAGGTCGCCGACTTGCAAGGTCGCCGACTTGCAAGGTCGCCGACTTGGGAGGTCGCCGACTTCAAGAGGTCGGCCTGGAAGTTGGCGCCGACTTCAGGGAGGTCGACCTGGGAAGTCGACCTGCGGAGGGCGTTGACTTGGTGACGCCGACTTCGGGTAGCCGACTTGGGTGGTCGGCTGACGACTGTGCTGGTCGACGTGGAGCTGGTCGACCAGGAGTGACGTCGACCTGGAGCTGGTCGACCAGGGGTGTGGTCGATTGGAGGTGGCCGTCGACTTGGGAGGTCGACGGGCACATACAGGAGCACCTGGTCGACGTGGTTGCCCGGTCGACCAGGTTACCTGGGTGACGAGGTTCTGCGGAAGAGTGCGACGGTCGCCCAGGCGATGTTGGCGAGACTGACCTCGGTGGTGGTATCCCGAGGTCGACGTGGCGGATCAGGTGGAGTCGTCAGCACGAGGATGACTTGGTGTGTGCGTTGTGCAGGTGACAAGACTCAGCACGCCAATCATCTGCGAGCACCTGCGAAGCTGGTGCGCTGCTGTTCTGCGGGAGCAACGCTGGCACGCCGTCGACCTGCAGCGTTGGCACGCCGTCAACTTTGCACTGCTGGAACGCGACCGACCAAGTCGTGCTGGAACGCAGTCGACCATGCTGCGCTGGCAGTCGACCGACCTGAATGCTAGCTCTGATGTAGTCTTGTCTTGCCAACCTGATTGTACCATTGTTGTCAACTTTCTCTAATGAAACTCTTGCCAACTTGCCCCGTGAACTAGCAAGCAGTGTGTGCACTAGGAAAACGACGAAGGACCAACGAATGCAGAGATCACACGAGCACCCGTGCCTAGCCCGTAGTCTAGCTCCCGTTGTAGTAGTTATCTCCGCATGGTGCGGTGAGCGTGGACGGCACACGACTTACCTTTCAGTCAGGTCGACGTAGACACCACTTACCTAATTCGTAGTTGCAGGCCGGCAGCTGTGCGGTAGTCACTATGGTAGGAGCCGTAGGTGACGCAGGGGTGGTGGACACCCTGGAGGCACGGCTGGAGAACGCGAGGAGAAGGCACGAGGCCAACGAGTATGGCGATCTGCCTTGGGCGGTCATCGAGGCTGGACTCCGCTTCATGTGGGCGACGGAGCACCCTTCTCGACCTGCCTCTCCTCGACCGGTACACGACGAAGGCGGCGTCGACGTGGGCGTCAACGCTGGTGGTGGTCAAGTCGGCAGCAGTGCGGGAGGCATGTTGAGACAGCGAGGTGTGATACACGCCGGTGAAGCCGGCGGTGTTCAGGCGCGAGGGGTGCAGTCGTCGGCGGCTGCAGGCTCCTCGCAGGGTGTCGTCGGAGGTCGACGAAGCGGATTGTCGCCGATGTCGGCGACCCAGGTGACGGCAGGCGGAATAGCACCGAGCTACGGCTACTTCAAGTTTACGCCGGATAGGATCTTGGTCACCCTGCCGCTCGTTGGTCGACCCGACATACTCACATGGAAGGAAGCCATCGAGCCCCAGCTGGAGATGGCTGGGCTGATCGGCTTCGCCCGAGGAACCGTGGCGACGCCGGATGAGCACCACCCCGACTTGCAGGCGGAGTTTCGCGCCGTGCAGTTGTTGACCTTCACGGTCATCTCGCGGTGCTGCTCGCCGGGCGTGCAGATCGCCTTGAAGTGGTGCCGAGAGTACCTCGACGCCGGCCACCGGGCGTGGCACTTCATTGAGTCGACCTACCAAGTCACCGATGACTTGTTCATCGCCCAGCTGGAGGGGCAGCTGACGCACCTGCGTATGGGCGATGAGGAGACGGCGACCGACTATTGCAACCGAGCTCGGCGGATCCTCGCCACCATCAGGATGGCAGGCGCGCAGTACTCGACGGCGTCGTACGTCACCCACGTCATGCAGGGACTCTAGAGCAGCTACAACCTCCTGAAGCGGCTGTCCATGGCGCCGAGCACGAGGACGACGCTCAACGAGGACAACTTGACCTCGTACATCCTGCAGGACGAGGCGATGCAGGAGGCAGAGCGGTCCCAGGAGCTCTTGGTGCAGGCAAACTACGTCGCCCCGGGGAAGCAAAGTGGCCGATCGGGACAGCACGGACAGTTTGGCGGCGGTGGAAGCAGTGGCTGGAGGTCGACCAAGGAAGTCGACAAGAAGAAGTCGACCAAGGACAGCGGCCGAGGAGGAGGAAGTCGACGTCGGGAATGCTGGCTGTGCGGCGACCCCGACCACCTCTCCTTCGAGTGCCCCAACCGCAGTGACTCCGACGACGACGACGCCAAGGGAGGCCGCGGGAGGTCTGGCAGTCGTCGTCCTCGTCGAGGGGGAAAAAAGCCGCACAAGGAGAAGCAGTCGACGACGTCGACCTCAACGAAGGACGCCGACTCCTCGGC